GAACTCGTATCTGAAAACCATATCTCTGAGTTTTGAGTGGGCGCATGTCGCCAGTGTGCTGCGTTACTGTTTACATGTGTGAAAAGTGTGTTTGAAAACGAGTCTGATTGCAGATTGGCAGAGTGGCCGACAACCTAAGGAAAGCTCAGCACAAGATGATAGAGCAAGCTAACAAGCATCATCGGCTGTCACAATTCCAAGGAGGCTGCTTAGTCTGGGTCAAGTCAAAGGAGTTCGCCCAAGAAGAGAAGATCTCACAAAAGTTGTTGCTCACCTACAGGGGACCGTGGCCTGTCCTAGAAGTCGAAGGTGGAGAGGACAAACTTCATACACAATACACATACCCAGTCTTCCATGCGTCCAAGTTTATTGCCTTGTGTCGCCAGTCAGCAATTTCCATCGCATCTATTGATGAGATACCGCCAGACATGGATGGCACATACGACATAGACCGCATAGTGGAAGAGGATGTGTTCAGAACCGGAGGTAGGGGAAGTCCACAGAAACAATATAAAGTTAGGTTCGCTTATCAGGAAACTGAGGACGACCGATGGTTCACAAGAACCGAACTTTTACAGACCGCTCCCGACAAAATCCATGCCTATGATAGGGCAAGAAAGGGTAAAGGTCCTGCCTTGCATTAACATATTCTCGGAGGACCTCGAATTTAAGTCAGCGGAAGTGAAACGCTTTTCACCTATATCGATGCCAGATGCAGATCCCAAGGCTCGATCCCTAGACTTACCGCTCACCCGTGTGTGTTTGAACGCGCGACCTGTTTCCTGAAAGTCGTAAAGTCGGCTATTATGTATAGTGCGGTCGCAGGGGTTTGACCCGTAGACCTCTTTTTTAGTTGTCGTAGGGTCAGTGTAGGCCGTAGCTGCTGTAGTACCAAAAGGTCAAGTCTAGAGTATTCTAGACTAGTCTTACTGACTTTTTGTAGGTCTTAGGAGTTAGTCCGTGGCTGAGTCAGCAAGGGGCAGTCCGGGCACAGTCAGCAAAGGGCAGTCCCAGTCCTACCTAGTCCAGTCAGCGGTACCCAGTCCCGATCGCACTTTTTCCAATCAGCAAGTACCAGGTGGAACTGTGTACACCCCGGGCCCAGGGTCAAAAGGCCAAACCAACGACCATCCGAAGTATAAATAAAGAGGCAGCGTTGATTCATTCTGCCTATGAGCCATGCAGAATCGCTGCCGGAGCGTCTTGTGCTATGGAGGTCTGCAGGTGCCCGAGGGAGAAGAGGGCTAAGAGGAGGAAGAATGGCCATAGCCGTGTGTCAACAGGAGAGAGACAACAGCCATATCTGCCGAGAAGGTTAGTGGTAGGTATCGTGAGTGTACGTGTGGTACATTCAGGGTGATCCTAAAATTTGTGAGAGTTCGTGTGTGTGCGGACAAGTTGCTTGTGGATACAATTAATCGGGTGGGAATAGCCATTGAAGACAAGTTCCTGGCCACGTTCTTATCTCTGAGCTTTGTGTGGGCGCATCGTGCCAGTCGAGTCTACATCTGTTTGCACGCATACTGAAGCAAGTTTGTGACTAGTCTGATTGCAGTCCTGCACTGGGGAGGAGGAGGTCGTGGGAGGGGTGAAGCAAGTCGCATGCTGGGGACGAGAGGTTGCAGGAGGCCGAGCGGGAGGGGGTGAAGGAGAGGTCACACCAGCGGGAGGAGGAGGTCGCGCTAGGGGGAGGAGAGGGCCGCGACGGAGGACCAGGAGGTCGCACAAGGTGGTGGAGGTGTGAACGCGCGCGCACCCCCGC